GCTTATATTTTTAAAAACGTCAATATTTAAGAAAGTACAGTGCAATTTAAGAAAAGTCGTTATTTAATATCGCAAAACTTTATTTATTCATCGTTCATAAATCACGGCAGTCACGTAGTGACTCTATGGTTACTAGTTTTCATTATTAGCTTTAGCGTTATAAAATTTTATAGCAATTAAATTTTTATAATATAAAATTAAAAAAAAAAAATTAGCAGAAAATTTTTTAAATTATTTTTTTTTATTAAATAAATTGACAATTGTCAGCTATCTTGATTAACATTAACATGACTAATTGGAAGATTAAAAAAAAATATATACCTGTTGTTCTGGCAGCACCGCAAGGTAGAGTAAAATCCATCGTATTGCCGGTAATATTGATTCTAATCCACTTTCAAAAAGTTCTCCTAGTAAATGACAGCACTGCTGTTCACTAAAGGACTCAACATTGTCATTTATCTTTCTATTTGTCATTTCAGCGTAAAAAGCCGCAAGAATACTATCACTGCTGTAATCATCCTCATTTTTAATATTACTTTCATGCTGGTTTAACAATTTGCGGTAATACTCGTGAGTTTTTAATTTAATATTAACGAGTGATTTCAACGAAATTGTATATCCTGGCAAGTACTTCATAAAAGGAAAAACATCCAGCGCACTTGCATAAATAAAATATTTTTCTCTTTTTTTTATTCAAGTCACTCAACCACTTCAAGGTTTTTTCGTCTTCTTCATAAATTACTCCGAATATAGTAATATACTTTACTTAAAATTTTTCCCAGACAGTTTTATATAAAATTGGTGATGGGTCAACTAACTCCATTTTTATTAGCGGGTGCGTTTTTTAAATTCTGGACAATAAAAAACAAAAAATTAACAATTAAGTTTATTAGTACAATAATTATAATTATGAAAATTTATTTAGCTGATATTTAATAATTTTTTTAACAAATAAATTATGGCAAAAAAAATTTTTAAAAAATTCAATTTTTCTAAAAATAATTTTTTGGAACAAATTTATTTAATAAAAAAATAAAAAAAAAATTAATATATAATCAATAATAATTCAAAAATTATTATTATAAAAAATTATTATAAAAATTATTTTTTTCCATTACCTGGATAGCTTTATTTAATTTAATAATTCTTTGATTGCTTTTTCAATTGAAGCTTTTATAACGCCGTGTTTAACCGCTCCCAAATTTTTGAAAGTTGTTGATACAAATTTTTTCTGCTTCTTCTCAAATTCGCCTACTGAATTTATTATTCCTATTTAAATGTAAAATATATATTAAAAATTTTATGTGAAGTAATGATCTATATAATTACTTTCGAAGTTTTACGTGTTTAGAAAACGAAAAATTTTTTTATAATAATTTAGTTATAGAAATTTTTGTATTAATTTAAGAGAAAACACAAAAAAGTGTTAAATATTTAACACAAAATTTTTTGACGCAAAAGGTATTGTTATAAATAATAATTTTTATATCTCCTGAAGACAATTTCTGAGAAGTTTATTAAAATAATCTACTTGCAATGAGCACGATATCTTCAGTTTTAATCATGGAAATTTATAAGTCCAAAAAAATTCTATTAATATAAAATATTTTATAGAAATTAATTTAAAAAAATATCAAAAAATTTATTTTTAATAAAATGGTTACTGTCTAGTCAAGAGCAACTATTAACATTATAAATATTTTTATACGCCTTTTGAGTAATTGTTCTAAAATATTTATGGTGCTTTTCATAATTTTTTCGCTTCATAATTTATACTTAAATAAATTAGATTTATTAAATACTAAGCATATATTGTTAATTTAAATTTAAATATACAATATCTATGTATTTATATTTATCTATTTTTTGGGAAATAAATAAATAAAAAAAAAAAAAATATAATTAAATTAATTAATATTACAAGATTGAAATTGAAAAAAATTGACACTAAGTTTACAGACATTAGAAATTTTTTTATAATTTTATAGAAATTAAATTATTACAAAAAAAAAATTTAATAAAAAAATTCTACATGTGAATAATTATTAAAGGAAATTTTTAAAAGTATTTTTATTGTTGTAATTGATTTGTTATAAAAGAATTAAAAAAATTAATATGATTTTTCATATAAAAATTCTTAATAAAAATATTAAAAAAATTTTTTTATGTTGCTTAATTTTAAGTACGTATAATTCTTTATTAATTAATTAAAAAACAAAATTTAACTAACCGCATCCATTCATGATGGTTTGAAATACATAAGATGGTGCTCTCGATGAAAACTCTTCCCTCTTGAAAGTCGTCCGAATTAATTTTGGATCTGACAAAACGACGAGGAACATCGAGCCCAATTTCAATCTATAAATCGGTCCATATTTTTTTGATAACTCCGTAAAAGCTTTATAATCTTCTCCTGGGTCTAAACTGAACAAAGAGCCGAATATTGGATCCGATTTAGGTCCCGGCGGGTAATTTTTTCCTTCAGACTTGTTTGATGTTAGAAAAACAAACAATAAAGAAACTACTATCAAACATGAAAAGAAAATTATTTCTACCATTATGGACTTTAGTTAAATTTTGGAAAAAATTGATAGTGAATAAAAGAACTGTTCACTCGACGGAACTAAAGAAAATTTGAAGCAGAATGAGAATATATCGCCAAAAAGTTACTGATTAGATCGCTGATGTCTCGTCAAAGAAGACAGCGGATATTGATGAGCTCAAAATTGTTTCTAGATAAGAGTCGCATGGGAACAAGTATGAATATTTTTGTAACTTGGATCCAGTACTGATAGCAACTAATTAATCTTGTTGACCTGAAGTTAGATGAAAAATCTTGTTGTCCTATCTAAGATTTTTTTATAAGTATAATTAATTAGATTTTTTAATATTTTAAAAAATGTTTATCTTTATTCTATGAATTTTCTAAAAACACAAAAAATTTAGTATTTTAATGAATTATTATTAAGTTTTATCAACTATTTTTTATAAAAATTTTTAGTGATATAATGAACATTTTTTAACATAATTTTATTATAAAAAAAAATGTTCATTATATCACAAAAAATTTCGTGAACGAGAAAATGAACCTTAATTTCTAACTTTTAAAGAAGAAAATGAATCCTAATTTTCAAACCGTTTATATTCTTTTTCACATTTCTGTTTACATAAGTTTATTGTTCTAGATCATTTCAGATTATCATCTTCTATAATTTGTATTTTTTGTATCACTGAGTTAAACTGTTAAATTTTTTTTTAAATTTTTAATACTCAATTTTTTATCCTCAAATTTATTTTCTTTGTTTTATTTGTCAAATTTGTATTCCAAATTAAGAAAATAATATTTCATAAAAAATAATCAATTTTTATATCTAATATTTTCTAAACTTTATATCTTCATTAGACTTACGTGTACTTTATTATAACTCTTTTTGTATACTTTTGCCATCTGATGGCTATACTGCCTTGGCATTGAAATGAAATAATAAATTTTTAGTGATATATAAAAACATATTTTATGAATAATTCAAACTTGAACTTATAAAACTAAAAATATAAAATATTGATAACTTTTTTTTTATTTGTTCCCAAAAGCACACGTTAGCTCGAACATCAAGTCTGGTTTTCTATAACACAATCGCTGAAATTTTTTTGAAGCCACTACTGTTTTGCTGTGAAGAGCGATGAAATTAATGGCACTCTTGCGTAAATCAAATGCGTTTTGATCATCAGCTGCGTCAACTATGTCGATAATATTGTCAGTAGACATATTTTTCATCAACGTAGACTCACAGATATCTTTGAGTTTGATAACTTGATAAATATCAGCGACTTCAAGCATCTGCAACGCTACTTTAGTATCTTTACTTGCCTTAGTCTCTCCCTTGTAACAATAATGCAGCATTTCCAGAATTATTTCTGGATCAAGACCTTTAATGTTTATTTCATTGTTTATTGCTTCCTTCATTCCGGATTGCAGCATTTTTGAGAATACTTCACTTTGAGCGGCTAAAACGATTTTATGCGCTGGAATTTTGACCGTGTCAACAATGATTGTAACATCACTGAGTTCTTCTGAGTTGTAGAATTTCTGCATCTCATTATACAAATTGTTGTTAAGATTACTTTTTATTTCACTTCTCCAAAATATCTCACACGTAATGGTGATTTCATAAGAATAATACCATTGACGATGTGCCTGATCATATAATTGTTGGGTTTTTACTGTTTGAGGAATAGCCAGATATTTTGGAAGAGAACACATTTTTTGCAAGTCCTTCCAATCATTAGTTTCAACATTCGCCTCACCATCACCAATTGTCACCTTGATTAAAGCACTAGCTACTTCTGAACTCGATTTTTTCACCCATAAAGTGAAAATATTTGTTGATCCATGGTCATATTTCAAGCCGATGTTGAAAGTAACATTCTCCAGATTTTCAATTTGAAAATTATCAGAATAAATTGTCTCGGGAAAAGTACTAATTCTAGCTGACCAGACGAATTTTACATAACCCGTAGATTTTTTTTCTTCAAGACTCATTGTGATAGGAAGAAGTTATTTCTGTAACAAAAATTATTTGATTAATTACTTTAGGGGCATTCAATGCGAAATGGGTAAGTGACTAAAATTATTAAATTTCTCTAATTCATTTTAATTTAGCCCTAATTTATTATTAAAAGTTTTAATTTAATTAATTTGTTAAGAAAATTTTTAATTAATTAATCAATTTTTTTTAAGATAATTTATAAATTATTAATTTTACCTTGAAGTTTTTTTTTTATTCACTTATTTTCTTTTGATATTTATATTTTCATGCAAAAAATGAAAAAATGTCTCAGCATATAGCGGTTAATCCACAAACAATATTATTAAAATTACTCATTTTTATGAGTTGTAATCTACATTATTAAGAAAATAAGCAAAAATTTAATTCTAAGTGAACTTACACGTGAGATATTCACAAAATATTAAATACAAAAATTACAATAATAAAATAAATTGTTACCTTAATTGTTGTTTCAGTAGATAATTTCAATTTCACAATTTTATATTTATCTTGATTATTAAATTTATTAAATCAAAATTTTAGTTGTTTTATTACACTTGTTAATAATTGGAATTGAAATTGAACATAAAAAACATTGATTTTAATTATATGTGATAGTTAGCAAACTTGTTAATTGAACAAAAATTGATTTGAAATTATGCGTGATGATCACTAAGACTGATTTCACACGAGTGAGCAAGTTCATGCAAAAACAGCCCTTTTATAGGACTTAGGGTAGACCTGCCTTGAAAATTGTTGGTGAAAATTCCGTCCAATTAGGACCCAGTTTCCGGGGTACCGTTTCCCCTTCTCTCAAGAAAACTGTTAGGGGAACTGTCCCCTCTACGTTAACGTGGGCCTTATATACCTCTATTTTTACATGCGTTGGGAAATTTTTAAAATATTTTCGACCACGTGTTTTGGCACTTACACGTGTTCAAATATAATAATAATTTCACTTATTCCTCACAAAAACATTTTTTTAAATAATATAACTTTCTAATTTTAGCGTTTAATATTTTTAATTATTTCTATAAATTATTTTTTATTTATTTATAGATTATTACTTTAATTTAACATTTAATTTGTTAAAAATATTAATTATTGTCCATGAATTTATTTTCCTAACATAAATTTTACTAATTGATTATTAAATATTAATTATTTAATAATTATGTTACTCTTAAAATCTTAATTTATTAATTTAAATTTTAACCTGAACTCATTTTTGTAGAAAAGTTTAATGACTATTTTGCTATTTCATTTCTTTAATCTCTTTTTGTATATGACCTGTTATTGAAAAGACTCGGCTACAGTGTCATTAAAATATCATTACAAGATTAATTTTTGTGCCTAATAAACTCATTATCTCTTTTACAAAATTCTAAGGGCATTCAAAATATTAAATTTAAGTGACCCGAAAAGTACTTTTTTTTGTTGAGGTAATTTTATAAAATAACATTTTTTATTCTATGAATGCTATAAAAATATAAAATATTTATTATGTTAATTTATACTAATAAATCTTTATAATTTTTTTTCTTCATATTAATCTTAAGTAAAATAAAAACATAATTGTAGAATAAATTGAGCTCAAACTTATGAAAAAAAAAAAAAAAATGAATTTTAATTAAGTTGTCTTAATATTTTTTGTAATATTATAAAGTTTTGTAAACTATTTTTTATATAATTTTTTAATGATATAATGAACATACTTTATTAATAATTCAAACTTGAACTTATAAAACTAAAAATATAAAATATTGATAACTTTTTTTTTATTTGTTCCCGAAAGCACACATGAGCTCGAACATCAAGTCATGTTTTCCATAAAACAATTGCTTAAATTTACTTGAAGCCAAGACTTTTTTGCTGTGAACAACGATAAAAGTAATTGCACTCTGGCGTAAATCTACTGCGTTATGATCATCAGCTGCGTCAATTATGTCGAGAACATTTTCAATAGACATATTGTTCATCAACGTAAACTCACAAATATCCTTGAGTTTGATAATTTGATAAATATCAGCGACTTTAAGCATCTGTAACGCTACTTCAGTATCTTCACTTGCCTTAATGTCTCCCTTGTAACAATAATGCAGCATTTCCAGAATTATTTCTGGACCAAGACCTTTAATGTTTCTTTCGTTGTTTTTTGCTTCTTTCATTCCGAATTGTATCATTTTTGCAAATACTTCACTGTGAGCGGCTGAAATAACTTTATGCGCTGGAATTTTAACTTTGTCAACAATGATTGTAACATTGTCACTGAGTTCTTCTGAGTTGTAGAACTTTTGGACCTCATCATAACGATTGATAAGAAGACTACTTTTTACTTAACTTTTCCAAAATATCTCACACGTAATGGTGATTTCGAAATAATAATGATAACCAGTATAGAGTTATTAATATAAACATTTTGACTTAGTGTTTGTCCAGAAATAGTCATAGATTTTGAAATATAACAAGACCTCTCCCAATCATTAGTATCAATTTGAAATGGTATGTTGCCAAGCAACCATCATCTTGATTAAAGCACTAACTGGTTCTAAATCTTTATTATTCTTTTTCTTCATATTAATTTTAAGTCAAATAAATACATAATTAAAGAATAACTTGAGCGCAAACTTATATAAAAAAAAAAATTGAATTTTAATAAACTTGTCATTTTACTAATCACAGAGAGCCCGAACAATTTCAAGCATTAGTTCTTGTTTCCTAAAAAATAGCTCCTGGAATTCACTGGATGGAAATACTTCTTTATAATGACGAACTATGTACTCAATAGCTTTCTGGCGTAAATTAATGGCGTTATGATCATCAGCTACGTCAATTATGTTGAGAACATTATTAGTAGACATATATATCATCAACATATGTTCACAAATTTCCTTGAGCTTTATAATTTGATACATATCAGCGACTTTAAGCACCTGCAAAGCTATTTGGACATCATCCTTCACCTTCATAATTCCCTTGTAACAATAATGAAGCATTTCAAGAATTATTTCTGGATCTTGATCTTTAATATTTATTTCACCGTCCTTAGCTTCTTTCATTCCAGATTGCAGCATTTTTGAGAATACTTCGCTGTGAGCTGCTAAAACGATTTTATGTGCTGGAATTTTGATATTGTCAACAATAATTGTAACATCACTGAGTTCTTCTGAATTGTAGAATTTCTGCACGTCATTAAAAAGATTGTTGTTGTCAAGAAAAATTTTTACAATGTCCTTCCAATGTATTTTACACGTAATTTTCAACTCATAAACATTGTGAAGAGTCTTCTTAATACGATCCTCTTTCATTAGGGCTTTATCAAATGCACTTTCTGGCATACTTATATCTTTAAAATAACATGAAGATTTATAAAACTGAGATTTATTCATCGAAACGTCTCCGATCGTCACATTAACTAAAGCGTTGGCTGGTTTTGAATTTGATTTTTGTACCCATAAATCAAAAGTTGGCTTTGATGATGAACCACCTAGTTCTAATTTCATATTAAAACTAACGTTGTTGATATTATTAATCTTGAATTGATATGAGTAATAAAATTTTCCGTCCAACTCACAAAGTTCAACAGGCCAAGTAACTTTTACGTAGTTGTTTTTTTGTTCCTCAATTATAAGAGTCATTGTGATTAATATACCGATTATTTCTGCAAAAAAAATTTCATCAATTGTAATGACTTAAATAAAAAATTTCAAGAATTACAATAAAAAAAAAATGAGTTAAGAAAATTTCACTAATAATTTTTTTTACATTTTCACCTGTAGAATTATTTTATTTAATTTTTATGATAATTTAATTGCTATAAGCTTGTAAAAAAGTTTTAAATGACATCTGATAATTTTTATGATTTTGTTTATGAAAAAAATTACTTAAAAAAAAAAAAAAAAAAAAATATTCTACATGTAGAAAATTTGAAAAATAATTATGTGAAATTTTTAAAAAATATTTTTTTAGTTATAAATTAATTAATAAAAAATCAAAAGATTTTCAAACGTTTGCTGATTTTAGTATTATAATATAAATATTTAAAAATAGTTTATTAAAATAAAATTAATTCACTTGAATAATATTTAGGTTTGCTATTACAGGCAAAAAGTATCAGGTTTCCCAAACACCTAAAATCAAAACAAAAAATTATTAATTATTATTTAGTCAACCTAAACTAACACAAAAATGAAATATTTAATTACTTTCTATAATATTTACAATTTATTAAAATTTAAAACACTTACGATCTATTAATGAAATCCTATCAATTTCTTCTAAAAAAATTCAACAAGATACGACGGGTTAAAAACAATGGAGTAAATAATCAAAAGTTCTCGAAGAATCACCGGAAACACTCAAGTAAAATCATACTGAAGTTAGTCGTCAGCTGTCAATTTTAAAAATAATTTTTTGAACAAATTTATTTATTAAAAAGAAAACTCAAAAATGATCAAGTGACTGCTAACTTTATAATTCAATAAAATTTTAAAATTAGTTTTTTGCATTACCTAGATAGCTTTATTTGATAATTCTTTGATTTTTTTTTTCCACTGCAGCTCTCATGACGCTATGTTTGACTGCTCCTAAATTTTTGAGTTGTTGATACGGATTTTAAAATTATCTGCTCCTTCCCAAGTTCGCCTTCTGAATTAACTATTCCTTTTTAAATGTAAAATATATATTGAGAATTATTATTATCTGAAATTGTTTTGTAAGTATAATTAAAGAGATTTTTTATTATTTTGTAACATATTTATTTTTATTCTGAGTTTTATAAAAATATAAAAAACTTAATATTAGATTTAATATATAACATGGAATATAATATAAAGTTTTGTAAAATATTTTTATGTACATTTTTAGTGATATAATGAACACATCTTGTGAAACTTAAATTTGAACTAAAAAAAAAAAAATAATGAAATTTTTTTGTTTATATTAATTTGAAGTAATATAATAAACATATTTTTGAAATAATTCAAACTTGAACTTAAAAAATTAAAAATAGAAAATTTTGATAACTTTTTTCTACTTGTTCCCGACAGCGCACATTAGCTGGAACATTAAGTCTTGTTTTCTATAAAACAATTGCTGAAATTTACTTGAAGCCAAGACTTTTTTGCTGTGAGCAACGATAAAAGTAATTGCACTCTGGCGTAAATCTACTGCGTTATGATCATCAGCTGCGTCAATTATGTTGAGAACATTATCTGTAGACATATTGTTAATCAATGTAAACTCACAAATATCCTTTAGTTTTATAATTTGATAAATATCAGCAACTTCAAGCATTTGCAACGCCACTTCTGTATCCTGACTTGCCTTAGTCTCTCCCTTGTAACAATAATGCAACATTTCCAGAATTATTTCTGGATCAAGATCTTCAATGTTTATTTCACCTTCCTTAGCTTCTTTCATTTCAGATTGCAACATTTTTGCGAATACTTCACTGTGAGCAGCTAAAACAACTTTATGTGCGGGAATTTTAACCTTTCCAACGATGATAGTAACATCACTAAGTTCTTCTGAGTTGTAGAACTTTTGGACCTCATTATAAAGATTGCTGCTAAGACTACTTTTTATGTTACTTCTCCAAAATATCTCACACGTAATGGTGACTTCGTAGTAATAATGATTACCACCATAGCTATTGTCACGCATATTTCTGATCAGTGTTTCTCCAGAAATAGTTATAGATTTTTTAATATCACAGGTCCTCTTCCAATTATTAATTTCAGTCTGAGCCGATACACTACCAACCGTCATCTTGATGAAAGCACTAGCTGGTTCTGAAGTTGATTTGTCGACCCATATAATAAAGGTATTTGTTGATCCAGATGAAAATTTCAACCCAATGTTGAAAGTAACATTTTCCAGATTTTCAATTTGAAAACGATCAGAATAAATTGTTTCAGACAAAGTAAAAAGTTTAGCGGGCCAGATGAATTTTACATAACCCGTGGATTTAATCTCTTCAAGGCTCATAGTGATAGCAAGAAGTTATTTCTATAAAAAAAAATTTAATTAATTACTTCAGTAAATATATTAATAATATAAAATATTAATTTAATATACTTTAGGAAGTACGAGCATGGTAGTATAGTTGAAATAGAACCGTCGACTTGAGCGGTAAGGGGAAAGCAGTAACAGACAGATTTTTGGTTTTATACATTAAATATTGAAGTTATTCCCATTAAAATGTCATGATGGTAAAATAGAGAGATATCTGATAACTTTTATAATTTTTCTAGCGAATAAATTATGACAAGTAAAATTTATAAAAAAACAAATTCCATATTTGTAAAACTCTAGACTTTTAATTCTTAAATTTTCTAGATTTAGTTTAATTTAAAAAAAAAAAAAAAAACAGCAAATTATTAAGTATCTGCTAATTGAAGCATTATAAAATTTCTAGAATTTATTTTTTAGACTGAATATAAAAAAATCAAACCTTTATATCAATGTTACCTCAGTGCTCGTACGTCTTTAACCTCAAATTATAATAATAATAACAATAACTCACCCAAGTACAGACAAATTAATGTGAAAAATAATTATTATTGTGTTATCACAAATAAAATTATCCAGAATCAGCTGCTATTGATTTTTTCTGCAATTGAAAAATAAAATTATTAGTTTTTATTCGAATAACCTAGAATTAAATTACAAAAAAAAATTAATTATTCAATGATCAGTCTAAGAAAATAATGACATATTATAAGTACACATAAATATAATTAAATATTACACTTACAAAGAATTATAATTATAACTTGAAACTTACAAATCATTAAATTATTTGTGAAAGCACAGTCAGTCTCTTTCACCTAGATCCGTTCAACAGAATACGCGAATTACAATAATGCTTAAGGGGAATCCCAAAACATGCAGAAAATATATCGACTAAAGATAAATTTCTGTGTTGTAAACGAAAATAAAAATTTTTATTTAAAAAAATAAAAAGAAGTTTGAGTTGGAGATTGCTAAAAAAAAATAATTTTTTTTGTTGATGTAATTTTATAAAATAATATTTTTTATATTCTATAAATCTTATAAAAATACAAAAAATATTTATTACTCTAATTTATACTAACAAATCTTCATATTAATTTTAAGTAAAATAGAAACATAATTATACACAGAAAAAAAATCAAATGAAAAATTCTTGAATCAAGAAAATAATTTTGAAAGTCTTAATTGTTTTAAATCAAGACGAAAAATTTTCGAATCAAGTAAAATTTATTTAAACCAAGAAAAATTTCTTAGTTAAAGAATTTTTTTACTCAAATCAAGATGAACTTTTTCAAAATTATTTACGTGGTTCAAGTAAATTTTTTTTTATGTCTAGAATAACTTGAGCGCAATTATAAACTTATATAAAAAATTGAATTTTAATAAAGTTATTTCACAAATCGCCGAGAGCTTGAACAATTTCATAGATCAGTTCGTGTTTTCTAAAAAACAGCTCCTGGAATTCACCGGAAGCAAGTATTTTTTTACGATGTCGAACTATGCATTGAATAGCTTTACGGCGCAAATCAACGGCGTTATAATCATCAGCTGCGTCAATTATTCGAATAACATTACCAATAAACATCTTGTTCCCCAAGGTCAACTCACAAATTTCCTTGAGCTTGATAAATTGATAGATATCAGCGACTTTAAGCGCCTGCAAAGCTGTCTGAAAATTATGAGCTATGGCTCGCCTTGGTAGTTCCCTTTTAACAATAATGCAATATTTCAAGAATTACTTCTGGATCTAGATCTTTAATATTTATTTCAGATTGCAGCATTTTTGAGAAGACTTCGCTGTGAGCAGCTAAAACGACTTTGTGCGCTGTATGGGATTCGAACCTGGTTAACAATAATTGTTACATCACTGAGTTCTTCAGAATTGTAGAACCTCTGAATCTCACCATACGGATTGTTGTTAAGGCTACTATCTATTTCACTTCTCCAAATTATCTCGCACGTAATGTTGATATCGTAGAAAGAATAGTCAACACGAAGTGATCGATCATATAATTGTCGGGTGTTTGTTTCTCCAGAAATAGCCGCATTATTTTGAATATACACCAAGTCCTTCCAATTATCAGCTTCAACTTCCGCCTCAACATTACCAACAATCACCTTGATCAGAGCATTAGCTGGTTCTAAGCTTGATTTTTCGACCCATAAAGTAAAGATATTTGAAAATGCCCATGAAAATTTCAAGCCAATGTGGAAATTAACATTCTCGAGATTTTTTATTCGAAAACGATCAGAATAAATTGTTTTGGACAAAGTACAAAGTTTAGATGGCCAGATGAATTTTACATAACCCGTGGATTTATCCTCTTCAATGCTCATTGTGATAGGTAGAAATTATTACTGTAAAAAAAATTATTTAATCAATTACTTCAGTAAATATATTAATTATATAAAATATTAATTTAAGAAACTTAAAAAAATACGAGCAGGGTAGTACAGTAGAGATAGAGGCGTCGACTTGAGCGGTAAGGGGAAAGCACCAACAGACGGATTTTTCGTTTTATACATTATTAAGATCATTAATAAGTTTACTTTTGCCTTGAAGTATTTTTTTAATATTCATATTTGAAAAATTCTAGAAAATTATGAATTCATTTTTTTCAAAATAATTATCTAGACTTAGTTTAATTAAAAAAAAAAAAATAAAAAATTGTCTAGTTTGCTAATTTAAGTGTCATAAAATTTCCAGAATTTATTTTAAAGTATTTAGACTGCATGTAAAAAAAATCAAATATTTATATCAAAATGTTTATACCTCAGTGCTCGTTAACCTTAAATGTAATGTAATGTAATGTAATTTATTAACTGGCTATAGGACAATGTCCCCTAATAGCCAAAAGATACATAAAGTATTACAGAGTGTGTGAGAAATTTAAGTAATAGTATATAATATAAGAAGTAGTAGATAATGAGATATACATATATATATAGAGAATGATTTCAAATTAATAAAAAGGAAATGTTTATTTTTTTTGGTCTCTTATCATCAGTTTGCACTTAAAGCTCAGGCTATAACAAGGAAAAGAAAAAAAAAAAAAAAGAAAAAAAAAAAAAAAAAGGAAAATAATTAGAAAGGCTCAAAATAATGGCACAACATCAGGCACTGTGTTTGATAGTCTATTTAACAGCCGAGCGTCTCACATCAGCACCACTAGGTTCTTACTGGTCGGAATATGCGCCTAAGACTTCAGCCTGTTCGATTCCGAGCAAGTGATTGTAGCAGAGAGTTTTAAACTCCCCTAACGTTGCGGCACTTGAGATAGCAGGCGGCAATGAGTTCCAGAAGGCAACTCCAAGCACTAGAAAAGAGTTCTTGTACATTGACGTACGTGGAATCGGCGCTATGAGCGAGTCAGTTCTGTTGTTGTCCCGGTGCCGAGCAATGTTAGGATTTGGCCTAATATTCCGGCTTAGTAACACGTTTTTACCGAGCATCAGCATGCTATAGTAAGTACAGCCAAGTAGGTATAGTCGGCGATTCAGGGGTGAAAGCCATCCCAGTTCAAGCCTGGGGCCGTTTATATGCACCCCAAGTGGCCTCCGCAGCACAAATCTGACACAGTTGTTTAATGCTACTGCTAATTTCTTTTCCAAGCTTAGGTTCAAGTTCGTCAGTGCGATTGCACAATAGTCAAAAATCGGCAGGACTAAACTAATAACCAATTGCCTTTTAATAGCAGTATTGAGACAATTTGTAGACTGGCGAATGCGGTACAGTGTTCTTGATGCTGAGCTGATGCTGAGCTCTAAATGATAGTAATAAGAATAACTCACCAAAATACAGACAAATTAATGTGAAAAATAATAATTATAATGTGATCACAAGTAAAATTATTCAGAATCAGCTTCTGTGTTGATTTTTTTCTGCAACTGAAAAATAAAATTATTAGTTTTGTATTCGAATAACCTAAAATTAAATTACAAATTAAAAATTACTTACTCACTTATCAATCTAAGTAAATAACTACATATTATATGTACCTATAAATTCAAATACTTATTACACTTCCAAAAAACTATAATTATAACTTGAAACTTACAAATTTTATGCAAAAATACAATCTCTTTCATTTAGAACCATACAACAGAATACGAGGCTCCAAATACGACATAATTATAAAATTGGAATCTCAAAACATGCAGGAAAATTTATCGACTGAAGATAAATTTCTATGTTGTAAACAAAAATAAAAATTTTGTTAATTTTTATTAAAAAAAATAAAAACAAGTTCGAGTTGAGGATTGGTGAGGAAAGTAATTTTTATTGTCAAGGTAATTTTATAAAATAACATTTTTTATTCTATGAATCTTATAAAAGTACAAAATATTTATTATTTTAATTTATACTAATAAATCTTTATATTTTTTTCTTTATATTAATTTTAAATTAAGTAAAAATATAGTTATAGATTAACTTGAGCGCAAACATTATATAAAAGTGAATTTTAATAAAGTTGTAATTTTATTTACCGCCGAGAGCTCGAACAATTTCGAACATCAGTTCTTGTTTTCTGAAAAACAGCTCCTGGAGTTTATCTGAAGCAAATACGCCATAAAGTGCACTTGACCGTTTTTTAATTTTATTCAACAAAACAATTGTTACAAAAAATTATTTTCAAAAAATTGCATTTTTATTTTTTTTTTAATTTTTACATGTAAATAATTTTTTTTGATTTTTTTTTCATACTATTTTTTGTTTACAACAAAATAATTTTCTTGTTGAGGTAATTTTGTATAAAAATATTTTTTATTCTATGAATTTTATAAAAATATTTATTATTTTAATGAATGCTGATAAATCTTTATAATTTTTATTCTTAAGAACTCCGCCGTTCATATTACGGCATGAAACAAATTTTATTTTGTTTTAAAAAGAAATTTTTTTTATTAAATTAATTTTTTTTCTTAATTTCGAGTCGAGGATTGGAAAGAAAAGTCATTTTTATTTTGTAATGTCGGCTAATTTAATTTTCATTCAGAATTTACTATTCCTGTTTAAATGTAAAATATATATTGAGAATTGTATATTAAGTAATGATATATGTTGTTAATTTAGAAATTACACGTGCTTGGAATACTGAAAAAGGAAAAATGATTTTTGAATAACTTTTTCTGAAGATTTTTAATTGTTTGACACGGAAATTAATATAGAGATGTAAATAAACTGTAAAAAATTTGTGTTAAAAAATTTTATGTTAAATATTTATAATATTTAAATCAGTAGATATCTGACATTTTTTTTTTTTTAATTACAAATCAATTATATAGTCAATATTGACTAGATAATTTATTTCTATACAATATTGTATAGAAATAAAATTGATAAAGTTATTAAAAAATCTATATTTAACTTTATGGTGGGTTGACAAAAAAAAATTATCAATTTTCAATGAAAATTATGTAATCATGCCATTTTAATAATTTTTATTATTGTTGAGGTAATTTTATAAAATAATATTTTTTATTCTACGAATCTTATAAAAGTACAAAATATTTATTATTTTAATTAATACTAATAAATCTTTATATTTATTTCTTCATATTAATTTTAAATCAAGTTTAAAACATTTATATAAAAAATTTAATTTTAATAAAGTATTAATTTTTTTTATTGCTGAGAGCGTGAACAACTTCGAACATCAGTTCATGTTTTCTAAAAAACAGCTCCTTGAATTTATCTGAAGCAAATACTGTTTCATAATGATAAACTATGAAATCAATAGCGTCTTGGCGTAAATTAACGGCGTTAGAATCATCAGCTACGTCAATCATGTCGAGAACATTATCAGTAGACACATTTATAATCAACCCATACTCACAAATTTCCTTAAGCTTGATAATTTGATAGATATCAGCGACTTTAAGCATCTGCAAAGCTATTTGGATATCATTTGTCGTCTTCAAAGTTCCCTTGTAAAAATAATGCAGCATCTCAAGAATTATTTCTGGATTAAGGCCTTTAATGTTTATTTCGTTGTTTTTTGCTTCTTTCATGTCAGATTGCAGAATTTTTGCAAATACTTCACTATGAGCGGCTAAAACGACTTTGTGCGCTGGAATTCGGACCTGATCAACAATAATTGTGACATCAGTAAGTTCTTCAGAATTGTAGAACCTCTCGATCTCATCACAAGGATGGTTGTAAAGGCTCCTTTTTTCAGAATTTGACCAATGTATTTCACACGTAATGTCCAACTCATAAACTTTGTGAAAAGTCTCTTCATTGCGAGTTTTTTGAATTATTCTATCAACCACAGTATGTTTCAGGATTTTTATATCTTTAAAGCAGCATGAAGATGTCCAAAAGCGAGATTTTTTTATTGAAACGTTTTCGACCGTCACTTTGACTAAAGCGTGATTTACTTTTAAATTTGATTTTTGTACCGATAAATTAAAAGTTAGGTTTGATGATGAACCTAGTTCTAATTTCATACTAAAAATAACGTTGTTGACATTATCAATCCTGAATTGATCTGAATTATAACATTTTGCGAGAAACTCACAAAGTTTAACAGTCCAAGTAACTTTAACGTAGTCATCTTTTTTTTCGTCAATTGTAAGACTCATCGTGATTAATATACCGGTTATTTCTTTAAAAAAAATTTGATCAATTGCAATGACTTAAATTAAAAATTTCAAGACTATCATTATTTAATTTTTATAACAAATTAAATGCCACTGAAGTTGACAGACATTAAAAAGTTTTTTAGTAATCAAATTATTGTGAAAAAAAGATAATAAAAAAATTCCACTTGTGAAAATTAAAAAAAATTATTAGTGATAATTTTTAGAAGTATTTTTTTAATTGTAATTGACTTGTTACAATAATTAAAGAAAATTGACAGCTGTCAGTATTGTCAAATTATAATAATTTTTTGAAACTCATAATTTTTTTTAATTTTCACCTGTCGAATTTTTTTTATTTTTTATAATAAATAAATTAATTGCTATGAAATTCTAAAAAAGTTTTAAATGATATCTGATAATTTTTAAGATTTTTTTATGTAAAAATTATTTTTAAAAAAAAAATAAAAAGAAATATTTCACATGCAGCAGATTTGAAAAAGTACAGGTGAAATTTTTAAAAAATATTTTTTAGTTTTAAATTAATTAATAAAAAATCAAAAGATTTTCAAACGTTTGCTGATGTCAGTATTATAATATAATTATTTAAATATAGTTTATTGAAATAAAATTAACTCACTTGAATGATATTTAGGTTAGCTCTTACAGGCAAAAAGTATCAGGTTTCACAAACACCTAAAATCATAAAAAAAATTATCAACCATTACTTGATTAACCAAAATTAAGTTAAAAATGAAATATTTAACAATTTTTTATAATATTTACAATTTAATAAGACTAACACTTACGTTTTACTAATAAAAAAACTATCACTTTCTTCTGAAAAAATTCAACAGGTTAGAACACTTTGATAAACGGTTTTTAATTTTATATTATTGGGTAAGGCTTTTTTTTTTTTAATTTTATTCAACTAAAGAATTTGTTTTAAAAAATTATTTTCAAAAAATTGCATTTTTAATTTATACATGTCAATATTTTTTTCTGATTTTTTTTTTTAATACAATTTATTTTTTATAAAAAAAAAAAATTTCTTGTTGAGGTAATTTTATAAAATAATATTTTTTATTCTATGAATTTTATAAAAATACAAAATATTTATTATTTTAATGCATACTAATAAATTTGATTCATTATTTCAGGTCTAAGTATTACAAAATTTCAAAGAACCAAAATCAGATATATAGTAAGTAGAGACCAAATAATTTGTTTTTCTTTTTATTTATTTAAATTAACAACATTTCGTCAGCATATCCGATTTTATCAGGTAACTTATGTTTAAAAAAATATAATAACATAATAAAATTAATTAAAACAATTACAACCAAATAAGTTGTAAATAAATTATAAATCTTTATAATTTTTTTTTTTTTCATATTAATTAAATGTAACATAAAAACATAATTATAGAATAACTTGAGAGCAAACTTATCTAAAAAAGTGAATTTTAATAAAGATGTCACTTTACTTGTCACTGAGAGCTTGAACAATTTCAAGCATCAGTTCTTGCTTTTCAAAAAAAAGCTCCTGGAATTCACTGGATCGAAATAATTCTTTACAATGATCAATAATAAATTCCTTAGCTTTCTCGCGTAAATCCACAGCATCATAGTTATCAGCGACGTTAATTATTCTGAGAACATTATCAACAGACATATTGTTCATCAATGTCGACTTAGAAATCTCCTTGAGTTTTATTATTTGGTAATAATTGGCTACCTCAATCATCTGCAAAGCCACTTCGACATCATAACATGCCTTCGTTGCTCCCTTGTAACAATAATGCAGCATTTCAAGAATTATTTTTGGATCTTGATCTTTAATATTTATTTCACCTTCCTTAGCTTCTTTCATTTCAGATTGCAGCATTTTTGAGAAGACTTCACTGTGAGCGGCTAAAACGACTTTATGCGCTGGAATTTTGGCCTCGTCAACAATGATTGTAACATCACTGAGTTCTTCCGAGTTGTAGAACTTTTGGACCTCATTGTAAAGATTGTTATTATAGCTTATTATTGGAGAACTTCTCCAAAATATTTCGCACGTAATTTCGAAGTTATAAACAGTAAATTCAAGCATTCTTTCAACAGTTGCCTCTTTTGGGATAATTATGTTTTTAAAGTAACATGAAGATTTCCAATGCTGAGATTGATTCATCGGTAAGTCTCCGACCAACACCTTGACTAAAGCGTACGCTGGTTCTGAATTTGATTTTCGTATCCATAAATTAAAATTTGGCTTTGATAATGAACTATCAAATTCTAATTTCATACTAAAACTAACGTTGTCAATATTTTCAATCTCAAATTGATCTGAGTAATAAAATTTTGCGATTAACTTGGAAAGTTTGATAGGCCAAGTTACTTTTACGTAATTATCTTTCTCTTCCTCAATAATAAGACTCATTGTGATCTGATTAATATACCAGTTATTTCTGTAAAAAAAATTTTATTAATTGTAATGACTTGAATAAATAATTTCAAGACTATTATTATTTAATTTTTATAACAAATTAAATGATACTGAAGTTGACAGACATTGAAACTTTTTTTAGAATTTTATAGTAATTAAATTATTTAGAAAAAAAATTAATAAAAAAATTCCAAATGTGAAAATTAAAAAAAATTATTACTGATAATTTTTAGAAGCATTTTTTTAATTGTAATTAACTTGTTACAAAAATTTTGAAAAATTGACAGCTGTCAGCTAACTTTAGTATTGTCAAATTGTTTACATAAAAAAAAAATGTGTTAAATTTTTCACTAATAATTTTTTTAAATTTTCATTTAAAGAATTTTTTATTTAATTTTAATCATAATAAATTAATTGCTATAAAATTATAAAAAAAGTTTGAAATGACATCAGATAATTTTTATGGTTTTCTATATATCAAAAAAATTATTTTAAAAAAAATAAAAAGAAATATTTCTCACATGCAGAAGATTTAAAAAATTACAAGTGAAATTTTTAAAAAATATTTTTTAGTTTTAAATTAATTAATAAAAAATCAAAAGATTTTCAAACGTTTGCTGATTTCAGTATTATAATATAAATATAGTTTATTGAAATGAAATTAACTCACGTGAATAATATTTAGGTTTGTTTAGGTTTGCTATTACGGGCTAAAAGTATCAGGTTTCACAAACACCTAAAATCAAAAATAAAATATTAATTATTATTTAATTAACCTAAATTAACTTAAAAATGAAATATTTAATTATTTTTTATAATATGTAAAATTTCTTAAAAACTAACACTTACGTTTTATCAATGAAATACTATCAATTTCTTCTAAAAAAATTTAATAACAACATACGACGCTTTTTTTTTCTTTCCTTGCTGAGTTGTGCTCAGCTGGCCTTTGGGGAGTCCCGTACAGCCAATGTTTCTAAATACGACGCTTTAATAAACGGTTAAGTGCGAGGAGTAATCAAAGGTTCTCCGAAGAATCCTCTGGAACACTAAAAAGTAGAAAATTTTACCAACTGAAGATAATTACATTAAAGCTAGCAGTTATGACGTGGGTAAGGCTTTTTTTTAATTTTATTAACTAAAGAATTTGTTCTAAAAAATTATTTTCAAAAAATTGCATTTTTTATTTTTTTTTTAATTTATACATGTAAATTATTTTTTCGGATTTTGTTTTATACCATTTATTTCTAACAAAAAAATATAATTTTCTGAGTTGTTGAGGTTATTTTGTATAAAAATATTTTCAATTTTTTCAATTCAATTATATATTTTATAAAAATTTATGTGAATATTGTAACAAAAAAATATTTTTTTTTAATAAAATTATTTATGACATTAAAGCTAGCAGTCACTTGAAAATTAATTAATTTTATTTGACAAACAATTTTGTTCCGAAAAATTATTCTTAAAAAATTGCATTTTTAGTTTTTTAAAATTTCTACATGTCAAAATTATATTTTGTCATAATTTAGTAATTAAAAAATTTTTTTCAATGACAAAATATCTGCTAAATGAATTTTAATAAATTATTCCCCACTTTTTACTAAAAAAGTTTGGAAAATCCAAATGAGCATGCCTTAAGCGCTCATGTCATACTATACATAAAATATTTAGATCATAACATAAATTATTCGTTTTTAATTTGAATTTTCCCGCGAGTAGTATTATGCCCTCTGTAGGTCGAACTAAAGAAAAATTTTTACCAGATGATAAAACAGTTAGTAATTATACCAGCATGTATGTATAGTTTCTGCTTGTTTATAGTTAAGGTAAAAGTCCCTATTATGAGACACTTTTCAAGGTAGGTTGAACATTCCTGCGAGTAATTAATCCATTTAAGAAAAAAATACACTTTTAATCGCACTATACGATAATTTGATGATCATTAAATCAATGTTCATATTGTTTTTATAGTTTTTTTGGTCAAAAATTAATTAAATTATGGTTTTTTTGGGGAACCTACATGACCCTATTTATGAGACACTTTAAAGTCACATGTCCCCAGTGTCTCAAACCACAGGACCCTATTTTTGAGACAGTTAAAAAATCAGCAAAGTTGATCAAATTTTATATATTTATCAATTTTAGACAATCGTATTTACAAAAGAAGGAATTACTTTAATTTTTAATTAACTTATAAAAAATTTTTTATCAGTTAAACAATTAATCAACGCAAATTATTGAATTAAATCTATTGTTCGTTCTTGATTTTTTTTGTCATTCCTTGACTTGAGCCATTAATTTTTTTTCTTCTTGTAATATTTTTTTATTGTTAAATTTTTCTACTTTCATGTTTTTTCTGGATCTGAATTTTCTTTTATAAGTTCTGAAAAAAAGTCACATTAAGTTAAATTTATTGAACATGAATGTGAGATTGACATTTACATACCTAATTGATAAACTTTGTTGTTTATAAGATTTGTAGAATGAATATTTGTGAGCTCTGTTATAATCACTCTGGGTTTTGCAGATATATCTAAATTTGTATCATCAGTAGAGATAGTTTGATCAATTAGGCTGTCTTCACTGAAGTCTTTAGAAGTGCACAGTATTACGTTATTGCCATCAATTGATGATTCTTGAAGACTAACTTGATTAGATTCATATATAACCGTAAAAAATTGTTCATCATTAATTAAATTATTTTGTTCACAGTTTATCACATTAAAATGATTGTCCAAGACAGTAACGGATTGTTATACGTCTTCAATAATTCAGTTTTTGTCACATGTGACCCTATTACTGCTCTGTACAACACCCACTGAACAATAACATCCTCTTCTTTTAAAGATAACACTGTCACCGGCCCAGTTCTAATTTTTGCCTCAGGACTAATACTTTTTCATTTAGCAAGGGTAACAATCGGTACTCCATAAACAGCAGCTGCTTTTCTCAAAAGGACAACTCTGTGTCTTCCATTGCTTTTAGAGCTTTTGTTATATTTCACGAATTATAATTACTTAATCCTTTTAATTTTTTTTCCTTCATTTTATTATTCATATTGGAACACAACACTTTTTTTTTTGGTTGAATTTGATGAATGGGTTT